GATGCCATCTTCAAGTTCAGGCAGCAGAGTGAAGGGGCCTACCTATGGCCCTGATTTTGTGTGAGATCATGAGATCAACTGGCAGATGGAGTCTAAACTCTTCGGAACAAAGCAGCAAAAGGCAAACTCACGCACGAACCATTGCACCCACAACGACTTTGATAACGGTTAGCGTCTGAGATTTCGTTGTGGTTGGGGGGCCGAACAACGACGATTTATATTGCATTTTATAGACCCACAACGAAATCGCAATTTTCTGAAAAGTGACTTTTTGTTGTGGGTATATAAAAAGCTATAAGCTATATAATTCGTTGTGGTTCGGCCCCAACCACAACAACTTTGATAACAGTTAGCGTCTGAACTTTTGTTGTGGGTCTGATCAAAACGTTGAGTTACTTCAACTATTTTTTGTTGTAGGTCGGCAGAAGAACCACGACGATCTTGGAGGTCAGCAACCCCCACCCACGACGATCTTGGAGGTCATCAACCCCCACCCACGACGATTTTGGAGGTCATCAACCCCCACCCACGACGATTTTGGAGGTCGTCACCCCCCCACCCAAGACGATATTGGGATCACGACCCACATCTAGCCACATTAGTTTGGTCGTCAAATACTTCAATCTGTGCGTCTTTGAAGGTTCAAGTTTTGTATGTAGTTATGTGCACACAGGTCAAAAGTCATCGTTATAATGACACCACTTTTGTTTGTAAGTGGAAAGCATGGAATCACCCATGCTGCGGGCAATGGTAGAAGCTGCATCTGGACGGCCAAAGACAGATACAGGAACACCAGAAAAGGAGGAAATCAAAGTGAAGGTAAAAGAAGATACTTCGACTGTACCGGGGTTGCGCATAGGTTGGTATTTACGGTGTACTTTGCTTTTAATTTTGTTTGATGTATTGTTTTATAAACATTTGACCTTTGATGTCTAAGTTGACATCTTGCCAAAAGTGTAATCTGCGCAACAAGGACCCATCGTCCAAGCGCTGCAAAACAGAGTGGCAGAATGGGTTGGCCAAGCTTCCAGGGGATGTGACACTTGTCCGAGCGCCTCGATTGAGTTCTGTAGTAGTATGTTTTTTTGTTTCTCACCTCTTGTGTAGTTGGCTTAGGTTGATGGAATCACTCAAGCTTCATTTTAAGATTGAATGAATAAGGAAATCTTGGACTTTGTCAGCCAGTTTACAGAGACAGAGAATGTACATGTGCACCCCTTGTCCTGCCTGATGCAAGCATTCAGCGGTGAAGACACGGCCGCTGCTACTGTGGACAGACTCCAGCAATTCTTGCAGGAGGCCCACCAGGTGCACATGAAGAGATTTGACCTTGCAACTTTGCCAGCTTCTTGGCTGTATTGGGGGAAGCATTCCCTCTAGTTGCTGCACTTCAATCAGATGTTTTGTTTGATTTTTAGTGGTAAGGATCATGCGTCCATCAAGAATGATGGCACAAGCTTGATCGCCTACCTCCCACTGAGCGCTATAGACTTGAAGGAGCCACAAGATGGACTGCCATGCATCGGTGATTTCATCACCACAACCATAAGTTACATTTTCAATGGTTCACGCCTTCATCGAGAGCCATTGGATGTCTACTTGATGCCCAGCAATGACGGATCCGCTCCCCCCACGCTTTGGTCTGAAGAAGGGGTTCACAAGATTGAAACTTGTTCCATTTCAATAATGTAGAGTTTAAATGTATTTTTTGTATCTTAACACCTTTTGTTTAAACGGATGCTTGATTGTTTGGAACTTTTCAAGGACCGCTCCGCTTCTTCTATTGATGATTGCCAGTGATATTGACCCCGTCGCCGGCAAGGATCACAAACAAATAATGTTTCAATCAGTGTTTTAAATATCAACACCAAATTGGGATGACATCATCCACACCTTCTGCAAAGGACCTGATCCTTCCTTTGTTGGCAGCCGTCGGCGGTTTGTTCAACATCCCCTGTTCTATCTCAGCCCCGGGCAATCACGAGAGCAACACATTTGAAGCCATTCAGCTCAGCGCACAGGGAGGAGAACGACAGAGAAAAGATGATACTTGAAAATCATTTAACACACCCACTGCAACATTTTTCAATGTATTGATTTGGTTGGGTTTATGTTCATTGTCTATGTGGCTTTTCTGGACCTTCACTCACTAGGTAATGAAACTTGCTGCCACCTTCGAAAAGCTGATTGCAGAACGAAGGAAGGAGGAGAAGTATCGTGACGTCAGCGTGGCCGACATTCTTGGGGAGTTAGTGAAGGACTACAACTCGTACAAAGCAAATGCCGCCTTGAAGAGGTGGCAATTGACTCCAGATCAACAAAGTGCCATCTCAGGTGTGATTAATGGGATGTCCGCTGAGGCACGTCAGTTGGTCAGGCAGCACTTGGACTTCAACAAGTATGACGAGAGTGGCTACTGTGTTTTGGATTGTGTAATATTTTTGTTTGTTTTTTCATATTAGTGGGATAAGGTGTTGTGATCCTGATGCCCCTTGCTGGTGCCCCAACAACACTTTGAACTGAGGCTACAATGAATCACTCTTGAGGAGCAAGCGGCATCAGCTTCATGAAGTGCCCAAAGGGATTCCACCTTCCTGGATTGATCGCTTGACTGCTTCTTTGACATCAATCAACTGATTGTTATTTGTTTTTAGTTTGTGACCTATTCAAGTTGCTTTAAGGCCCAGCCCCTCATATGATTGATTCATTAGGGCAGGAATCAAGACCAATCCAAATATTTATTCTGAGGTGACCCATGACTCTCAGACCCTTCACTTCAAACGCTACAACCAGTGGTGGGCATCAAATGCCAAGCGTGTGAAGAAATCTGCACGGGCCAGACTGCGCTGGGGGGAGGAGCAGTGGGGCAAGAGCGTTGATCAGTGCTGCCTTGTTGTGTGGGCCATCAGAGAACGCAGCAAGAACCCAAAGGTGGCTCAACAAACTTCATTAAACAATATCCATTTTGTTGTTTTGCTTAGAGATGTTGTGAATGTTTGTGTTCTGTTTGTGCCATTGGCAAGCAAAGGTCACTTCAGGCATGCTTGAAGACATGGTTGATGCCTTCTTGTCACGGAATCTTTGAGAAAATTGTCATAATATTTTCCTATGTTGACATTTTGGAGACAAAAACAAGCTACTTTGGGGAACCAAAGCTTTCTTGCAGCAAAGGGATTACTCGCAAGACTTGGAAGCTATTCTTCTGAGCAAGCCTCAGCGACTGACGGCAGAGTCGTTCACCATGGTTCAGGATTATATCATGAAGCCGCTTGCAAAGACTGCTTCCAACATTTCTGCGGAGACTGACACCAACATTGAGGATGCTGAGGGTACCAATGTCTAAAACAGCATGGGTGTTTAAGTGTGATCATATGATGCATATGTGAGTTCTGTCTTTCTTCCAACAAGGAGGCACTGCGAGCGGCGGAGTATGCATTGACATGTGCAAGCCTGTCCCACGACTACAAGGAGGCAGTGCAGCGCAACTTGAGACGCAACAAGGTGGGGATTGTGGGAAAAAATGTCACCTATCATTGTCACTGAATCTCATCCTGGCAGGTCGAGGGAAGCCAGCACGTGGCGCACGCATCATGGAGTTAATTTGCATTGATTGTTTTTGAGGGGTTGCGCGTGTAGTTTGCAGTACAGCGAGGTACCAGGTTTCATACCCACACCATTGAAGCTTAGGTCTTGCATATGAGGGATCAGCTGGAGACAGGGTTGCAGGTCGTGGAGAGGTTTATGGAGAGACGTGCCCTCATGGTCCTGTCTGAGAAGTCCCAAAGTTTGGCAGCTTTTCAAAGACGCATCATCACTGATTGCACCAGCCGCTTCGAAGCATGTGACCTGAAGAGAATGCACCATCTAGGCTACCGGGACTTCAGCAAGCTCGGTCGGCTGAGCATGGTCGACGTCAAGGAGGCTGCCGAGTGGAGCAAATCCATTTTGCTTCTCAACGACGAGCACAGCAACTTACAGCAGTTTTGTTTGTTTTCACCTTCTGTTGTTCACATTCACGTGTCAAAAAGCAACATATCATATGCATATGCTGCACGGGTGATAAAGTTTAGAGTTGCAGGCACGATCATCGCTATCGCACCACTTCTCGCAAGTGACTCAATACTTGGGGGATTGCGCGGAGAGATGAGGCGAATTCAGGACAAGTTCCTTGATTTAGGAATGGAGATGAAGACAGTGGCCATTCCTTTCAACGTTGACCAATTGCACGGGAACCGGACCTTTGGATGTTCATCATCAATGATTTTTGAATTCCACAATGTCTGGTTATTTTTTAGTCACTGCAATAATGTTGTCTAGTGCAAACATGTTGTGCCAAACACATCTCAGAACATTCCCACAGAGCCTACCGGCCTGGATGATCGTGCTTGACAGCGCATTGGGCTGTCGGCAGGGCACTTTGTGGAAGGCACCACGCGGGTCGGATCGACCACTCCAAGACCCCAACAACTTCTGCCGAAACGACTCTTGGACCTATGGTGGGTGCAAAGCAACGATGCCTTTGCAACCAAGCAAACTTGTCAGCACAGCAGCACAGCAGTAAAATTTTCTAGCCTGTTTACATGGTTGCCAACAGTTGGCTGTTTTGTTGGCAGTTCAATTGATCCGTTAGGTGAATTTGTGACTCCAGAGTCTGGCACTCTGTTCACCCATGAACATGGAAGAAGTCCCACAGAAACCCAGCAGCAGAGCAATCTCTTGTTTTCGTTTTTCAACCTGCATTGAACAGGATGCATGCATGTGCAGGTAGGTAAATAGGTTGACAATATGTTTTGACTTTTGAGCACAATTTGTGCAAAAGTAATTTTCAAGGACAAAGAGGAGACAGCGCAATGGATTGCAGCGCCAGCAACCCTCAAGTCGATAGTGGAAGCTTCTCTTTCACGAGTCAGCCCGCTCAAGGGGCAGTCATTGGTCGTCCACCACTACACGGCATACGATGGAGTTCTGGAGAAGGTGGGGTGGCCAACTTATTGTTTAAAGGGTGAGCGGTGAGGTCATACGAGTTCTTGAAATGCCATCCCTGTGCCAGGTTGTGCTGGATATGATGTATGAGTTGCAGGCTTCACGCCACATTGGGATCATGAGTGAGTTCAGTTCCCCGGCCCTCTTTGAGTACGCAACGTCCTCTGTGAAAGACAAGCTCCTTGAGGCTAGGAATGACAAAACACATCCTAGATTCCTAGATTCCCAAATTGACTATGTCCTTGAAGGAGTGGAAAGCGGGTGGCAAGCTGGTTGGAGCTATGACACCAAAATTTCAAAAAAGAGATTTCATCCGCCGATATGCAAGTAGTTCCTGAGTGCCCTTCAATGCGGCTTTGTACCATGAGCTCCGATGGACGACAGCTGACCATTCCTGCTGTGACAAGAGACAAGTGGTTGGGTGACCCTGTTCGCAGCAGCATGGAGATTATCAAACACATGTTGTTTTTTGTTGTTGTTTGGGTGATGTAGCAATATAAGCTTGATTAATGTATACCAACTCTCAAACTTGTGACTGAAACCGAGACTCTGATTGGCGCATTTGACTGAAGAACTTTGACGCTGTATTTGGACAAGCTCAAGCTTCCAACCTGGGTGAAGTCCAACCAAGTGCTAGTGAGGTAGATTTGGGGCAGGAGAACTCAGCAACAACGGCTCGAGCGGAAGAGGCGAGTGGAGATTGCGAAACACCACCAGCCATGACAAAGGCTGATTTTGAGAAAGCTCACCCAGAGACTGAAGCGACAATCACACTGAATGTCGGGGGGCCAGAACATCATGTGTCACTATGTTGCTGGCAAGTGCTTTGTGACCTCCCCTGCGAAGACTCACCTGGTTGGCTTGGCTTCAGCAAGCCCGGCTCCAGTGTTCATGTATGCTGGTGGATCATGGCTGAGTGACAGCGCCAAGGTAGAGTTGTTGACAAAAAATGCAATATGTTCCTCACCAAGAATGAAAACAAGGCAGTGGAATTCCGTTTGGAGATGCCAACGACAATGGTGGCCCGGCTTAAGCAATATATTAAACCAGTTGGTTACATTTTATTTTGTGCTCATTTGTTGTGTTATTCATATTGTTTTGAATCCCTGTTTTATGGCTTTGGGGCACCTCAGCAAACAGACATATTCAGGTGATCCTGGAGGAGACGTCTACATCAGGTGTTACCGATTCCCTGCCTATGACTTTGTTCAAATTGGTGGTCCTTCTCGAGAAACGGGGGGCTCACAGGCTTCACTTTGACAGGACACAAACTTGATCGTCCATCATCAGTCAAAAGGGGTGAATCCGCAGATGCTATCGAGGTAGAGCACCAGTCATACTGCGTGTACCGTCCTTCGCCTGTTCAGTTGAAAACACTCAAACAAACTAACATGGCCGGCTACCTGGGCTTCAAAATGCTCAACCAGTCCAATTTTTTGCAGCTGGTGTGGCGTAGTTTGGCTTTATTGCATTGTTTGGCATTGTTTGTTCATTCAAGTTCAAAGGTAAACAAACACATTGTCAATCATTGTCACCTTTTGAACTTTTGGACCAGTTCTGAATCTCAGGCCTGAGATTTTACGCGCGAGAAAAGGTACTCGGACCGGCAAAACCTATGTGGTATGTCAAGGGCACGGGGTTCCGAATGGAACCAGATATGCTCTATGAAATCGCCTAAGCGTGGCGACCGTCTCTGACACTGAGCGTTTTGATGAGAGGAGAAAAACAAAATCTGTGTATGGTGATTTTTCATTCTTTTGCATGACTTTATGGGCCTTGTTATTGCTTGCAAACAGAAGTTTGTGTCCATTCGGTTCTATCCAGTGAACTTAGTAGTTGCCGATACGCTTTGTTTTGCCGACACGTTTCAAGCAATGTCCTCAATGGCAAATTCCAGTCTGCTGTCAAAGCATCTCCAAAGCATTGGAACATCATCGGCCAGCTCCGAACCATCAGCAGGTTCGACCAAGGCAGCGGCAGCGGGACCAGCAGCAAGCATGTTCTCTATCGCAGGACTTTCAAGCGAACACCAGTTTGCACATTCAAGGCGAGCGAATCACTGCAAAAGTTTATGCTTCAAGCACACCCTGTTACCGCCCCTTAGTTTAAGTTTATATACTTTTTTGTGTGTGTTCTTGCATTTGTGATGTTTGAAAGAAAACAAATGAAAATTGCTGAAAACACTTTCATGTTTAACCTGATGAGGCACCAGTGGATGAAGTTGCCACTTGTCCACCTTATGTACTGGATGACTGTTCACAAAAAAGGGCATGATGTTGAATGCATGTTTTAATGTTTTCCACAAATTTGTGATGACAGCAACAACATGAGCTTGGGCACAGTTTTGTTGCACCTAGGTTGTCCGTGGGTCTTCAGCTGATGAGGGTGGTTCTTCGTCCAGTGTGAAGGAGATGCAGCAGACTGAGGCCACTGAAAAGGACGCTTTCAAGAAGGACAGCGTCATGCACGCGACTCGTTGGGCTTTCGTTTTTCAGCTATTATAAAACAGTTACAACATGTTCAAGTTTTCCTACAAAGTTTGCATTTGATTTTTTCCCTTCCCACTTTGTTTTGGACACAATTCTCGGTTGTACCCAAGGTTCGCAAATACTTCCAAGATCACCCAGGTTGTGGCATGAAGGCTGCGCAGTCAGCTTGGATGGAATCAGAAGAGCGAAGCCAGGTACTAGCGGGCCGTCAGGCCATCCAGAAGTAATGGATTCTGAAAAATGAATCCGTCTTTTCTTATGGAACCATGTGTGAGATACACACGTGAGCTTGGGGTGAGGGAAAGCAATTTTGATTAGCGTGCTACAGTTGACTGTGGGACAGTGAAATTGACCTTACCACCCACAGCACTTTACAAGCGTTATATTATGCAAGCATATATAAGATATCCGGACAAAGGGGTTTGTTTGGTGCGTTGAGTGTTCTGAACAAAAGTTCATCAAGGAGGGTGTTTGCATCACATGTGTTACAAAAAATACACTGGGAATTCATGTCGCGAATTGCCAACTGGGCGCTCTTTTCAATCTGGGTCAACTTTGCCCTCACATGCAAGTGAT